GTTCCAATTCTATGGAAGAGTGTTTAGTAAGTTCTTACCTAAGTGCTGCACATTAAAACACAGCCATTCCCTAAACTGGATTCCACCTATGACCTTATCTAGAATACAGAACTCGGAAAACAACAAAGGATAAAGATCCTGAGAAATAAACACGAATTGGGACTTAGATGAATAAATACATGGAAAGATGGTGGCATCTTGTGAAAATTAAACAGAAGGAGCCATGGGGGTTTGTAGATAGAACAGGCTGTGTATCAGGTTACTAAGCACTTGCAGACTGTCCATGTTTCCCAAGTCCACCTTCTTTTTTGAAGGATGTCTCTCAGGCACCTGAATCTAAGATCCTGGGGAGTTCTGACTCCTCACCGCCTTTCCTTTACCTGCCAGCTCCATCTCCACAGTCTCTGCTCTGCGCCTCTCTGTTCTCCTCCCCTCCTGCTCCAGGCCAGATGATTGTATCAGGCTCCCTCCCCAGCATCAACTGCAGATTTGAAGCAAAAATATTTCAGTCCAATTCTTGTCCCCATACTAATAAATCAGATCAAGTTGTATTAGGCCATTCCTTTCACTGGGTCTATTTAGTCTCTCTGCAAAATAAGAAAATAAAAAAAATAGATTCCTCTCTCTCATCCTGTAAAAACATCAATTCAAAATGAATCAAAGACCTTAAGGCAAAACCCAAAACGTTTAAACTGCTAGGGGAAAACCCATTAAGATATAGGTAAGAACTTTCTAGAAAGAACTCGGATAGCATAGAAAATAATTCCATGAACTGATAAATTTTTTATGTAAAACTAAAAAGCTTCTGCCTAACAAAGGGAACAGTCACCAGAGTGAGGGGACTGCTTGCAGTCAGAATGGAAGACACACTGCCAATATATGCGAGGCAGGGCTGACAGCTAGAATATATAAAGAACTACAAAGTAAATAAAAGCCAAACCTTACTATCAATACATTGGCTAATGAATTGAACAGGCAGTTCTCAAGAAATACAAATGGCCAAAGATGTTTGAAAAATGTTCAATATCTTTAGCCATCAAGGAAATGAAAAGTAAAATGGCTTTGAGATTCTCTTTCATGATAATCAAAATAAGTAACACCAAGAAAAGAGATAACATCAAATGCTGGCAAGGATATGGAGAAAGAGGAACCCTTATTCGCAGCTAATAGGAGTGCAAACCGGTGCAGCAGTTACAGAGTTTTCTCAAAGACAACTTCCCCAAGATGCTGAAAACAGAACTAGGATGTGACTCAGCTATACCACTCCTGGGTACATACCCAAGGGACCAGCCACAGGGACATTCATATTCATGTTCACTGCTGAAGTATTCACAACAGCCAGGAAATGGAACCAACCAAAACATCCATCAACAGATGAACTGATAAAGAAAATGTGATACGTATTCACAATGGAATTTTATTCAGCCATAAAATGAAATCATGACATTGACAGGAAAATGGATTGAACTAAAGATCATTATATTCAGCAAAATATGTTAGACTCAGAAAAACAAATACCATGGCTGGAGAGACGCTCAGTGATTAAGAGCATTTGCTGCTCTTCCAGAAGACCAGAGTACACTCTTTCCCAGCAATCTGCATCAGGTACTACATAACTGCCTGTAACTCCAACTCCCAAGGATACCTACCCACACGTAGCATACACTCACACAGACATATGCACTTACACATGAATGAAAAATAAAGGCAAATGCCATGCTTTCTGTTACATGCAGGTCCTAGATTTCAATCTCTGTGTATGTGTGTATACACAAACATATATGGGAACAGTTTGTGAAGTTAGAAAGGGGACCATGAGAGAAGAGATCTTAAGGGGGAGGAACCAAGAAGGTAATGGAGTGCCTACCTAAAAAGAAAAGGGGAGTTACTGGGGAGAGGAAGGAGATCAGCCAGACGGGTCAGAAGGACAAATGATGGGTGAGGGGAAGGAGGACAAATAAAAACAAAGTATTATAAAAATGCCATAGTGGGGCTGGAGAGATGGCTCAGCAGTTAAGAACACTGGTTGTTCTTGCAGAAGACCGGGTTTCGAATCCCAGTACCCACATGGCAGCTAACAACTGTCTGTAACTCCAGTCTCAGAGGATCCGACAACCTCTTCTGACCTCTGAGGGCATTGCACAACATGGGTGCGCTTACCTACATGCAGGCAATACACCATACACATAAAATAAAAATATAAATAAATTTTTTTTAAAAAATGCCATAGTGAATAAAACCCATGCTATGTATGCTAACTTAAAACTAACTTAAAATACCTTGTTATGAGCCAGGCATAGTGGTGTACACCTTTAATTTCAACACTCTGGAGGTAGAACTATATGAGTTCACAGCCATCCTGTACCACAATCCAGTTCCAGCCAGACAGAACTACATAGTGAAACCCTTTCTCAAAAAAAAAAAAAAAAAGAATCTCATTATGGAGACCTTTAGATGAGGAGGGCTGGCTGGGGAAGCCCTTTGTCAGGTGTGCGGCACTGCAAATGATGGTAGTATTTTACATCACCAGCTGATCCTCTGAAGCATGGGTTAGAACGTGGAACTCCTTTCTGTACAACTGGTCAACAATTCACCTGTGTCTGCAGAATAAAGTCCAAATTCTTTGCCAAGATTCAGCTTTAAGACTCTTTTCAGCAGTGTTCTTTCTCATATACACTAACTTAACCATGAAAAAATCAGATCAAAAGATACTTATCTTTTCCAAAAACCAACCTGATTTTCCCAACCAGAAATAAACTCTTTTTTCTCACACATATTAGGACTCTTACATGAATTTCCCCCAGAACACTCGTTTGTTACTGTTTACATTAGACTACACAACTGTCCCTTGGCTGGAGCTGGAGTGTTGGCTCAGTGGTTAAAAGTACTGGCTGCTCTTGCAAAGGACGCAGGTTTGATTCCCAGCACCCACATGGCTGCTAACAATGGTCCGGAACTGCAGTTCCAGGAGATGCAATGCCTTCTTCTGACCTCTGCGGGCACTGCATGACGCAGGTACACATATACAGACAATACACTCATACACACAAAATAAAAATAATAAATAAAATATTTTTTAAAACTGTCCCTTGGTATCCAAGGGGGTTGATTCCAGATACCAAAACCTAAACCTTAAGATACTCAGGCCCTTTATATAAAGTACCATAGTATTTACATGCAAGTGCTGCACATCTTTCTATATACATTAAGTGATCTCTACAATACCGAACACAATGCAAATGCTAAGTAAAATGTAGCTGTATTTTATTGTTTATGGAATAATGGTAAAAGAATAAATACATGCTCAGTATGGATGAAATTTTTTAAAAAAATTATTTGATCTACAATTAATTAAATCCACAAACGTGGACCCTGAGATACAGAGGGCAGAGTGTCTATTTACTGTGACTACTTATTAAATCCTCACTCAACAATCAAAGTTCTTTGATGGAATAAAAAAAATCTCAATCAAAAATAGAAAAATGGTAAGTTTAGAATAAAAATGAAATGCCTGGGAATAAATTTATGAAATAGGCAGAATATACCCAGAAAATATTAAAGGACATTTTTAAAAGTCATTAACAAATGAATAAAAAGAACATTTTCCCCATCTGAAAGACTCAGTAATAGGAAGAGGCTCCTTTCTTCAAAATTAACCTCTATAATTAATACAGTTTCAACTGACTTCACGACAGAGGAGCAAGTTCAACAAACGGGCATTTGCATGTAAATAGGTGCAGTCTTTGAAGGTACTATCAGGGCACCCCCTTTGACAGGAGATAGCAATTCTCCTTCAAGGAATATACCTGGAAGAAATGACAAGACATGCTATTGAAAATCAACAAAAAATTTTCACTTAAATTTTGTTTGGGGTGGAAAAAAACGGATGGCAAATAAGTGGGAAGGGAAGGAAAATATGCTGTAGAAAATTTACAAAATATGATCCCTTAATTTTGTAACAGGAATACAATTTACTGAGAGATGAGGGTTAGAGGAGGTTTCCTGCTGGCGTTCTACATTCTGCAAAGAACACATATGGCTTAATGACCCTTACTCAGCATCTGATTCAACATTGTGCACTGTGACAGGCAGTTGGCCTAAACCCATTTTTAATCCCTAACTTAAATTGCTGTACTTATGACATATTGAATTATCTTACATTTGCATGCTTATACTAAAGATTATTATTTTGAGACAGGGTCTTGCTTTGTAGCCCAAGCAGGCCTGGAAGTTGAAATCCTCAAGCTCAACCTCCCTGGTATCAGGATTACAAACCAGCACCATCTTGTCCAGCTGTTAGCTTATCTATTTGTGTATTTTAATTTCTGAGGCCTTATAACATGTTTTAATATCTAATTAGACATATTCTCCTCATGACCTAGCATAATTCTCTTAGCTTTAAAAAACAACTCTATTGAGGTATAATTTATAAATAAAATGTACCATTTAAATGCTTATTTCAACAAGTTTTTTCAAATTCAGTGATATAACCACCACAATAATTTTGAAAAATCGCTGAAAATATTCTTAAAATTTTCTGGAATTATAACTAGCAAAAAATACAAGACATACACACCAAATGAAATATAGGGAAAAATTAATAATAAATCCATCCATATAAATGCCAAGAGTAATACAAAGAGGGAATTAGGCAGTGGCTCCTAAGAGTAAGTGAAGACAAGCAAATTCAAACCAGATGCCATTTTCCATGTTATTGATATACAACTTCAAATGCTGAAAAATGTAAGATAACCAGAAAATCTCGACAGTCTAAGAAATGAAGCTTTATTTTTAGTTTCTCTTTTACATTTTTGCCCGAATGGTTAGCCTTTAAATATTTTTCTAATAATTCTCATCATGTCAAATATTATTTTATCTCCTTGCCTCATACACCATCCTTTGCATAAAGTACCTCTAGAAATCGCTCCCTAAACCAATATTCGCCTTACAATTTAGTTCTCTTGGGGAAGCCCAAGGTCTGCGTGCACGCATGCACACACCTGCAGGTGTTGCTGATGGTCCGCATAGTGAGGTCATGCTCCTAGCAGCCCTGCGGTCCTGGGGAGAGAGGGGTCCCGGAAGCGGGCGATGCCCGGGCCACCGCGACCCGCCAGGGGCTTCAGGCCACAGGGACACCGCGAGCGCAGTGGCGTGGGGCGCCCCAGAGCCCGGGGTGAGGACCGAGACACACCCAGGAGGTCCTAACTCACTGCCGGGAAAATGGGCGAGGACAAGCGGAGCCGTGGCATCTAGCGTCCGCCGCTGACCTTGGGGAGTCCCGCTGTTCCGACCTCAGTTTCCCCACCTGCAGGCCGAGGCGACCCGTGTCCATCGCGGGGCTGGTTCCCAGGTGCGGGCGTTTCCGGGAGCCGGGAGGGGCGCCTTCCTCCGCGGTCACCTTCCCGGCACGGGCTGCAGGGCCGGGCGCCCCGGGAGGTCCGGACGACGCCCCGCCGAGGGTCGCGGTTCGCGGGTGGCCATTAGGTGCCTGGGCCTCGGGCTCCGC